CATTTCATAACGAACCCGTACGCACGCAACAATATATATATACCACACACAAGAAAACATAGAAAATATAAAAAAGTACGAATGTCGAAAAGTTAGAGCCGAATTACTTATAGAGTAATTATGTTAATGTGTATGCATATCTATATCAATCTGTCTCTTTCTCTCTCTCTCTATATATATATGTATGTGTGTGTTTATAGATAGATAGTATAGATATATACAGAGTTTTATGTGTTGATTTATTAAATATTTTAAATGGAAATATCTTAAAAAGGAAAAAAAGGACTTTTGCTTCTAAGAATTTTCGCATTCGAAACTTAAATTAATATTTTTATTCCCAAAATATTGATCTGGATGTACACTAAACAAACTTCAGTTATTGATAATATGCATGTCTGAAAACATTCTACATGTTATGAAATAGAATATCAATCGCGTTTGAGAAGAAAAATCACATCGTTTTTATTATTCAGAGAAGTTAAATCGATAGACTGCCTGAAACGTTATATTATTTGCCGTTAGCCAAAAGTTTTGATATAAAAACAGTTTTACAGAAAGGTTAAGGTTTCATATTTGAGACACGTTAACTATTGGCAGTTTTCCTGGAGTAATGTAGTTACCATTTTATTCAGAACGTTTTCTTATCAACAGCTCCTGTCCTATAAATAGTTAACTGTCGTTAGCGAGGTATATTCGGGACACACCTATAATTTTCGCAATAGCAAAGTTTGGCTATTTTCGTCCATCTTCAATATTAAGTGAAAATCAAATATTTTTGGCATTCAGTAATTTAATATATGCCATAATATTAGCAAATACTTCGTGGAATTTAGTTTCATGTTGTAAAATGAATCAAGAGCTTGAAAATTTGAAACATACTTACTATTTGCATAAAATTGTTCAAGATAAAGGACCTCACTAATATAGACTCAAAATAGTTCAAAACAATTTTGATTGATGTAAAAGCTATTTAAGGAATTTAAGATGAAGAAGAAAATCTAGTCTCCTGCCAGACAAAAGAAAGCATAATGCAGCAGATATCATAACTGGCACTGAATGCTGCCCCAGAAAAGGTAAATAGCTTATACAATTTGCAATTGATTGGAAAATGTGCAGTGCCATCGCGGAGATTCGAGCTTCGGACGTCCCGAAAATGCGTCAAGCATTTCAGTTATACTACGAAGGCATACGAAAAGGAGGGAGAAAATATCTCATAAACTTTAAGTATATAAATTTTTTCACTCTATCATCATTAAATGTGTGGTCCACATATTGTTTAATAAGTGAGAAATGTGAACTTCAATTACTTAAAATGCAGATTAAAGTTTAAATAATTGCACAGCATTAATGTGAATAGTTAAATATATCTTTTATTCATTTGACAAAAATAATACAGAAAATTCAGGAAATGCTCCTTTTTACAATTCCGTTTTCCTTCTTTACAACCTTTCCCCAATGTGTGTAAGGTTACTATTTTTCAAAAGGATTTTATTAGAGTTTTTTAATTTCCACTGCATCTACTACTTTCGAAATCCTTTATACGAACATCATTCAAAGAACTGCGCGCCATTACAAACACCTTTTTCTGAAGTCAGTAGCAGAATCAGAATTTAGACAATATCAGTTATAATTCTATTATAATTATAATTATATTATTCTTTCTTATGCTGAATGCTTTGATATTTCCCTCCCCTTTGCATTTGTAATATTTGTACATATTTACCATATGTTACAATATGTATACATCTGCTTGCATCTCCTCGAATTTAGCAAGAACGCAAAATAATATGCTCTGTTTTTGGCATTAATGTGCATTCAAATCCCTAAATGCATATAAGCAAGTATTTTAAAGCATGAACAGATTTGAGATATTTGTGTGGGTTATCTTTTAGCAAAATGTTATTTCATATTTATCCCCTAGATGATATAAGATATCAAATCATCTGTAACATTTAATGTAGAAAATTTTTCTTTCTTGCTAGATGAAATATGAATAAGACAGAAAGTTAATGTTCTTTAACAACCAGAAACTTCAGACAATGCGCAATGAAAAGTATAAACTTATAACAAAATGTTATTCCTTGAACACAAAATTTTTATCTGCAGAAAGCAGCAGATTAGCCGATATATTTTATAAGGGAAAAGTTGAAATAAAATTTAGACCACAGCAAATAGTACTATCTAAAATAAATATTTTAAAAGAGAAAAAGTTTGTGACCAGAAATGGCATAGATTAGTCCAACTATATATATGCATGCGCATATATCTATCTATATATATTATATAAACAAAAGTTCAGAAATTTCAAATTATATCATGATTAGATAAAACTCAGAAACGTAGCTCTGTTGGAAATTTTTCTGTTGCTTTTTGAAAAAAAAAAAAAAAAAAAAACAATGAATTTTCAGCACTTTTTTATAATTTTTAAAAATGTTATATCAATATTTTAAATTATATTGAATTTTTTAAAAACTTGTGATGTTTGTATTTTTATTTTAATATGTGTCTTTATTTTTAAGGAGTAGTCATCTTTCATGACTTAATTTTGATTTAAATATTATCGCTTGATTATATATATATATATATAGGGTGTATCAGTAAAGCGGTGAAAAACTTTCAGGTAAGATAGAGTAGACTTAGACGATGAGAAATCACGCAGAAAATGCATGGTCGGAAACGCTTTCCTGGCGCGGTGGTGTTGACACAAAAATCGAGAAAGAAAGGACACGAACGGGGTGAAAAAACATGTTTATTATTCGGAGTACAGGAGAAACAAAGAAAAAACGACATAAAGAGATAACGACATTCAAAGAGGTGTTCGAGATTACGACCTAGACTGTGATGCAGAAACAGTGCGTCATACATCTTCCATGCAATCTTTCATTCGTGATGCAGATCTTCCATGCGCAAGAGAAGTGAGGGATGTATCACGGTCCGTGGTCGTCATTTCAAACACCTCTTTTGATGACGATCGTTCTTTGTTTTGGTTCGTTATTGCTGGTTTCTGCTGTACTAAACATAGTAAAACAAGTTTTGTCATGTGATTTTCCATCTTCTAGGTGTACTCTATCTCCCGTGAAAGTTTACCACTGCTCTACTGATACACCCTGTATATATAAGTGTAGTTATATACACTCATGTCCATAAATTAAGGATAAATCGGAGTCACACGGAAATCGAACCCTAAATAAAATATATCACCTGTAAAATCGCTACACACATCTTCAAGAATCATATGCAAATTTTAGGAACTAACCAGATGACACCGATCGTACGTCACAATGACGAGAGTGTAAGAGAGTGATATATAATGAATACAAGCAAAGAAGTAAAATTGTTCGCAGGCGCTTTATAAGCATTTCAGTGCAATAACCGAATAGTTATGACACAAAGGACGCTTTTGGATGATTTTTTTACGTGGTAGAATTATCGGCCGTCTGGAATGTGGGCGTACCCAACTGTAACTATCAGACGAACTTGGAATTGCCCAGAGTGTCATCTCCAGGCTTTGGCAACAATTCCAAGATGATGGTAATGTGAGTAGACGTTACAGCACAGGTCGCCCCAGAGTTACAACGCCGAATGAGGACCGGTATTTGGCAGTTACTGCCAAAAGAAACAGGCGGAGCACAGCCTCAGACCTGTCTCGTCAGCTCTCTTCAGCCACTGGTACGACAATTTCAAGGCAGACCGTGTACAGACGCTTAGGGCAGATTGGTCTATATGCTCGTAGACCTGTCGAATGCGTTCCACATACTGCAACTCACTGTCGCCTGTGGTTAGCCTGGATTAGAGAGCATGCGTTGTGGACACCGCAACAGTGGGCTTGTGTGATGTTTTCCGACGAGACAAGGTTTAGCTTGTAGTCTGATTCTCGCCGGACTTTCATATGGAGAGCTCCAGATACCCGTTACCACCAAGAAAACATCATTCAACGACACCGTTACGGTGTGCAGGAGTGCTCGTTTGGGGTGGAATTATTCTGGGTTCCAGAACTGACCTGCGTGTTCAAATTGGAACCAAGACAAGCCAAATCTAGCGGGACGTCAATCTGGAACAACATGTACGTTTTTTTCGGGGCGCACAATTTGTGTTTATGGATGACAACGCCCGTCCTCACCGTGCAAACATCGTAAGCGAATGCCTTCAATCGGAGGATATCACCCGTATGGAGTGGCCAGCATTCTCACCGGACTTGAATCCAGTAGAGCACGTGTGGGACATGCTTGGCCGACGAGTTGCAGCCCGTCAACCTCCTCCTACATGTCTACCGGAATTCGGAGAGCATTGCTTTTTGAGTGGTAATATCCCCCAAGATCAGATCGATAATTTGATACTCAGCATGCCTAGGCGTTGTACGGACTGTATTGCATCGTCTGGGAGACATACAATGTATTAACAATCATACCAATCATGTAATATTGGTTTTTTGTAAATGGTGTTTTTTTTTTTTGTAATTTGCTCCAGGGAGAAAAAATCGCTAATTTTTTTAATAATATCAAACATATAGCATCTTTTTTTGCTCTTTACCTTTTGTTTAATAAATAAGCTTTACAAATAAGTCAAATTGCTTTTGCTTTTAACTCTTCCTTTGCCTGAATTTGCATTATCCTTAATTTATGGACATGAGTGTGTATGAATGTATGGACTCTGTCTCAAAAATTTATAGACTAAACTACATTACCTGTTTAGAAAAATGTAAAGGAACGCAAACACAAAAAAAAATATGGTTGTTTACATCACAATAGTCTTAGTACATTCCAGTAAATATGTGACTAAAATACCAATTTGTATTTTAGAAAAAATAATAATACAGAATAATATGTGTTCCAAAAGTTTATAGAATACTAGTATGTTAATTACTTGTGATCAGTTGCAAATCACTTAATACTTCAAAGTAGCCCCATTTTTCCGTATGACGTCGAATGTATGCTTCTCCATCGAGAGAACTAAATTTTGTAATAACTCTGGTTCGACACTGTACCATGTCCATGTGCACTCTAGATGGCTGCTTTTAAGGAATTCACAGAAGAAAATTGCCTTTCATTTTCGCAAACTCGCCGAGACATAGTACCCTGCACATTTTCGATCTGGATAAAATCGTCGCTTATTGGTCGCCACTCAGAAACAGTGACATTTTCCATGTCTAAGTACTTATTTGTAATATTAGAAGTATGAATGGGAACATTGTCATTCTGGTACATCCTATTCTGTCCTTTAATGTTTTCTGCAAATGGCATGAGATGGTCTCTTAGTGTTTCCATGTATTTAGACGAGTTTTGCCGACCATCTAGAAAGATGAAACCCACTTGCCTGTTGAAACCAATAGCTGTCTCCACCATAACAGATCCACCTCCACTCTTCCTATTAAAATAACTCCGAAGCTCCGAAGTAATGCCAGTAATATGAATACTCATCAGGATCATCTCGATTCCATTTTGCTTTATCACTGAAAATTATAGAGATTTATTTGTCACCATAAGCCATGTAGTTGCAGGCTCATTGCAATATCATTCGTTTGTGAATGAGAGCGGAAATGATATAACCATTTTTACGTGACTCATATAACCAGATTCCTTGATTCGCCTATGAACAATGTTTTTGGATATTTGCAATCCACAAGCCCTTGTAATTTGGCGAATCGACGTTTTCTGTGTCGAAGCCATTCTTTGTATTTGCCTATTGCTGTAACTATCTATCACCGGGAGTCTTCCTGAACGTGGTTTTGGCTGATGTGGTGTCTTACGAGACATTACACGATAAATCATCATTACAAATCGAGTAAGGAGTTTCAAAATTTCTTTAACAGACCTACCGTGCAATTTACAATTCAGAATATTAGTAACTTCAGCATCAGAAAGTTGCGTAGCTTTAGGCATACTTAAATGCCAGTTCAAATGATCTTTTTTTCTTTTTTAAAGTTGGAGGTTTGAATGTGGCATTATCATATAAAAGACTCAAGTTCCCCATCATGATTGTTGCTAACTAATATGCATACATTTACTTTGGGTCTATAAACTTTTCGGACACACTAGTTTATAAACTTTTGGCACACGTATTTTCTCTATCTTTATTTTTTCTAAAAGGCTAATTGGTATATTTGTTAAATATTTATTCGATTGCAAGGCACATGTGCCTTAAATAAACGTATTTTAATTGGGCAATTTTACACATTTCTGTTTTTCTTAAACATGTAATTTACTTGAGTCTATAAACTTTCGGGACAGAGTGTACATAAACACTTTATAAATTTCATGGAGAACCGTGTTTGGAACTTACAGTGGCAGATTAATAAAGTCAGAATATAAGCGTTTAATATATTTGCATCTGACTTAAAACTTACAATTTTGACTCTTGAAACATAAGAATAATGCGTCCTATATTTCTCTGTCTATTCTGATATTGTAATGCCTTTAGCAATTAGATGCGCTTATGTGAAATCTTTGCTATTTCAATATACACAAATATGAACAATTTTCTCAATGTATTCCATTTTCGCAACACTTGACCATTTATACAATGCCTGACCACAAAACTAATACGCAAATTTGTAAAAGCGGACTCGGTTTTGGATAATCAATCATTGGCGTGTATTGATTCGTAGCTCAGAAAGTAATGCATAAAAAAGTAGAGTTGGATTCACCTGTTCATGTGAATAAAATATTTGTACTCAGACAATATGTCGAAGTAAAATCGAATATTCTTATCTCAGAGTCAATTTTACGTATTATATATTCATCAACTACCGTTCGAATAACTTTTAGCGTTTCTTTAAATATCGGAAGGCATTAACATAGGAAGGGCGTTTTCTGTTTATGCTAGACATGGACCTATGTTCTTTTCACTAAAGGTTGTATAGTTATTCAAATTATTTTTCTCTGAGATGTTTTGTTTTGCCTATGATTCTAAATGATTCAACTTTAAGTATTAGTTTTTTAATTATATGCTTAAGGATCAATCATGTTAAACTGAATAAAGTTGCGTTTTCGAATGCTTACATATTTCCCGAATCTGACTCAAACGGTAAAATTTGTGAAATAGTAAAATACTATATATTTCTATATCCCATTTGTAAAATAATGAAATATATTTTATTTATATGTTTCAAAACATCAGTCTTCGGACTCGAGTAATTGATAACCAAATTCCTTCACGTTTCATCAGTGTTTATCTAAAAAAAGCAGGGATTAATTTTAAAATTTAATCTTTTAGTTTAAGAAATATGAAGACATTGACCGAAAACTTTAAAAGGGGGGGGGTAAAATTGGATGGCTTAACCTTCGAAGATTTGTACAAGTGTGTAAATGTAAATTATTCTGTAAAATTGTATTTTATTTCTGACTGCTATACTTTTATTAAAAAGCCCAAAATAATTTCTTAAGTTGCAGTTACAGCTCTAATTGCACGAAACGTTTTAGCTGTTTCTCTATCTTTTTTCTGCTGCATGACTTTTGCTAGAAATTTTAAAAACACATTTACTTGATCACGAATTAAAAGCAGCTAGTAGCCAGTTCATGGCTCACACGAATTTTACTTTTTCTAGCTGACTTTACGGCCAATATTTAATCTGGCAAATGCAAACAGAAACCTGCTTGCTCTTGAAATTAAAGGAGAAAATTCCATTAATAAATGTTTCTGTTCTTTGCAATTGAAATAAGTCAATCAAAACTTCTAAAATTCTTCTGACCTTATTTTAGAAATTTACATAAGACACTATACATTAAATTAAATATTTTTGTAATATGAGGTATTTGTCTTATTTTGTAAACATTTTTATAAACATGTTTGTATATCTTGAATTTATTATTGGATACTTGCGTAAGTTTTCTACTACATTTGCATTTATTAAATTTAACTGAATTAGAATCGTGTAGGGAAATTCTTGACATGCATATCTGTTTACTGTTTTCTGGAAAATTCTTATATAAAGATTAAAAAAAATTAAGATTAAATATTCATGGTACGGACGAAACCCGATGTCTGAACAACTGGGGAGATGGTGAGATAAGTTAATTCCTCTTGATGAGTCGACATTGTCTCCTTGACTTTTCAATTGTTCATTTTCCTAAAATTTTCATTTAAGTCTGCATTCAAATTGTATTTGCTTTACTACTACTAGCTATTGCTTGGAAGACAATTTTCCTTTAACTATTTACTTTCATTTTTCACTTCTTCATGTTCATTTTTGTATGTTTTCTTTAAAAAAATTGAAAACCTTTTCTATTTTGACCTTTTTGGAATTGGTACTTAAATTGCATTGTTGATCAGGTGTAACTGTTGACTACACATTGATATGCTTAAATTTTGGCTAAATTTCCACTATTAAGGAACGTTAGTCATTTCATTATTTTGATTATTAATTAAATCTTTGCAGCCATGGCGCAGGATTATAAAAACTGTCCTACTTTCCATTTTTGATTATGTTATATATCTATATATGCATGTAATAAAATGACTTGATGAGAGAAAGTTGCAACGATTGGCGGTGCTTCTCTGCATTATAACTTGGAGAAACTTTACTGCGTAGTTAGAAAGATGACACTCGAAGAGAGACTCGGCGGTAAATTCGACACATAGTAATTTTATTCCTTGATAATGCCCATAATCACTGTGGGCGCGTTATGCACTCTACAGTTTTATACAGCTTACATCTTCTTAAATACTGGACGAAATTAGAAAAGTAAACTCTGCGTGGCAAGGCGATGCAGCGAAAAGAAGCAGAAGAGAAGTTGAATAGGCACCCAAGTGAACTGTGGCCGCAAATGTCAGTTGCAAATAAAAATGAAATTGAAATTGCCTCGAAAGCTAAGTTTCTTAGATATTACGAAGATCTAAGAATTATTAAGAATAAGAGTGGGATCTATTACGATAATATACATTAACGATATTATTAAGAATAAGAGTAGGACCTATTACGATCTTATAAGAATAAGATTTATTACGAAGATTAGATATTTCTAAGATATTAGCATGTTGCGCAATCAGAATTCTTTCTCTTTAATATGGATCTACGAGCTATCCTATCTAGGTTTTACGCATCAACACTGCTCCGTCATTCTCTTGTTTTCATTACTACATACTATCTTTAAATCTTACGTAATGAAACAGAGATATTATTTTTCGTTTCCTTGCAATAACAGTTCGAGCCAAGTGGCTGTTCTCTGAGGCTATATTTATGAAACAGTAATATATAAAAATTCGTATGGCGTGCTTTGTTTGGGCATCAATTGCAATCCGAAGCAATGCAATTCGAATTTTATTGCGGATAATTTATGGTAACTTTCTAAAGAAATATTTTAACTTGTAAAATGGTTTAATCTTTAGACTGAAATGAACTGTTTGTATACCTAACTCACATTTCCAGTTATATTATAATAAAGCAGAATTATAAGACCGACGTGATCGCAAGAAGATCCAATATGACAAAAAGACAACTTTCGTTTAACAATTCAAATGCAAAGCAAAATCCATGATTCACGATTTCTGTTGCAAATTGTTTTGCCTGAATTCAGTGCATTCCAAAACTTCGCTAAGTATATGTAAAAGATTTTTATAGGAAAGTTACGATAAGGAAGTTTTCAAAAAAAATTTTCTATAAAATCCAGATAAATTTAAAATTCAGTACTAGAGTGAAAAACAAAACCACACTCAACATTGGAAAGGCATCCGTGATTTTATTCAGCAGCAGAAAACGTAAAACGTACGCATTACCTTCTCTGAGATTCGAACTTCGGATCTTGCCTCTGCTAACCGGAAGTTCCAGTTTCACCATGAAGGCACATAGAAAGGGATAAATACCCTCGCAACAGAGTGATTAATCTACTTCTTCTAGGCTAATTTGCATTCCAGTTCTCAGTGAATTAACATAAAAATACAATTTCGGAGTTAGAAACGTGAAACATATATGTAATTATTCATTCCCGTTGATTGAATATCATTTTATTTACATATAACATCATATAAATGTTAAAATAACGTTATTTTATTTACATACAAATGACACTATTTTAATAGCACATACATGTTTTAAACGAATTATAGGCAATAGAGGATTTTACGCATCATATTAAGAGGTTTTTTATTACTTCGCAATGAGAAATTTTAGTAACGTAAAGAGTGTAAAAAGTAAAACAAAATAATTGAAGTTCTGAAAATTTTAATGCATTTAGATGGCGATATTTCGAAACAACATATTACGTGCTATTGCAAGAAATAGTAGTAAAAGAAATGCTTTAGCACTATAACATGGATACAAGATTGACGTAGATAATATTTTGTTACTTTGGAAGATAAGAAAACTTCTGGAATTATGACATTGCATGTTTTAACAAACTGGAATCAGAAATACAAAAATCAAAACAAATTGATAATAAGGGTGTTAAATTAAGATAAATTTTGCTAACAAAGAGCGGAATTTCCTTGTTTG